TAAAATTCTGTTTTCACTTTGTCATGATGGGGTACTGAGTGTAGATTAATGAGAAAAAAAAATGAGTTTGAACGATTGTAGTATCAGGCGGCAACATAACAAAATTGAAAAAAGTGAAGGGGGTCTGAATACTTTCTGAATGCCCTGTGTGTAAACTGAAAAAAGTCCAGTCCAGCCAATCACAAACCAAGCTTTGTGAATGTAGCTGCTAGAGCTTGAACTGGCAGGGTTGAATGTGAGGATCTCAGCTATAGAGCTGAGGATGGTCCTTGGAGGCCATCTAGTCCACGCCTTGCTCAATGCAGGAAGTCCTCCACCAACTGGCTGTCTTGCCCTGGTTGGTAAATGTTGGATGAGGGGGGAACCATGAGCCTCTAGCAAGAGTGTTGCCTGATGATCTGCATCGACCATCACAAAATTTCTGCTAACCTTCCATTCAACTCTTCCCCTTCTAATGTATCATTTGGCTTCTGATCTGTCCTCAGGATCAGAAGCGGAGAACAACTCTTGGCTTTCCTCTGGGGGACAGCCTGGCAAGGACCTGAAAGGTGATCCCAACCCCGCAAAGGACCTGGGCTCTTCTGCTCTCCTGTTTCCAAAGGTCTTGCATCAACAAATGGAGCTGGTGCATCTGGGGAGGCTTTCAGCAGTGAATTCACCGGGGATGCAAAATCGGTGAAGACAAAATGGAATCCAACAGCATGAATAGATGGCTACTAACAGTCAAATGACTTTTCTAGTAAGACCCTCATCAGGAAGCATCCAGGACTGGGCAAGGTTTATTGGATGGAAGTTCATTTGTTCGTTCGTTCGTGTATGTGTGTGTGTGTGTGTGTGTGTGTGAATGGGTTTAAAGCCACACAGCTGCCATTTTTCAGCAGCCTTTCCAGTGGGAGTTGCACAGGAGAGGGAGAGTAGAAATGGTTATTCCATCATCTCTGTTAAAAGAACTGCCAGTTTTGGTCTCCCCAAATAAGTCACAGTTGTCAGTCATTGCATCAGGCTACCTGGACTCTTTCCATCTCAACTAGTCATGTTAAGAACTATAAATGAATTTTCCTCTTCCATCCTCACCTCCCTTTCCTTCCCTGCTATATCTTTTAGATTATAAGATTGAGGATTAGTTCTACTTTGCTGCTTATCTCTGTAAACCACTCTGAAAGCCTTTGGGGCAAAAATACATCAAGGAATATATAAATAAGATAATAATGCATAAAGAACAAGAGGCCCACTTGGATCACTTAACCATCATTTCTTGAACTGTTACGTATGTCAGATTTCTGTAATGTGGTATAAATAATCAGTTCAGAGAATTAAGGTTGGGTTTGATGTTTTGGATCAATTTGCCAAATGGATTTGATCCAATCCAATGCCGAAAACTGATTCAGTTTGATCAAATTGCTCATGAATCAAATCTTTGAACTGAAACTACGCACAGCTCTTATCAACAAGGAAATAGCACTTGGTTATACGGGTTATAAAGTAGAGGAAGGGTGTCCAGTAAGTAAATGATAGTCAACTGGTCTTAAATCCCTTTGTCATATCAGTAAATCTAGGAAGAACCATAAGAAGAAGAGCTAGGAAAAACCATAAAATGTCAGCTGCCAAAGTTATTTAGTTATCGTGAATTCCCGAAAAAGGAGACTTCCAGAAATGGATAATTGTAAAAAAGGATAATTGAAAACAGTCTACAGAGATCTCAGAATCTGGAGTCCAAGCTTTATTTACATTTATCTACCTGCAGAAAGCATACATGGATAAAAATGTTTGAAATGCGACTATTTTAAATAATTTAAACACTGAGTCTTGAATTATTAAACAAATAATAATTCTATACTTCTAAAGTATAGAAGAGAATGTTTGCAGAGGTATTTCAGTTCTTTCTTGTGTCGTTCACTTAGATCTGGTAAAATCAAGTGAATATCCTATGCTAGTCTTCCTTTGGAATTGTCTGTTTTACTATATTAACTTCTTGTAATCTGGAATAGACTTGTGTTTTAGTAAAACTCAGAATGATTGAAAGATAAATCTCTGTGTTGAAAACCTTAGGTAACATGTGTCTAGGGAAATTTGACATGGAAATTGGGCAATTCTAAATGTGCCCAATAAGGGATAAATGAATTGCTTACAGAAAACAAACTCTCATTAATCGATTTTTAGACATGAAAGCTCATGGGTACTATGGAAAAGATGAATTCCAAATTAGTTTTTCAAACAACAACCTTCATAGGCTAGCCAGGATCCCAAAAATGTGATCATGAGAGCCTATTTCTCACATGAGAATTAAATCTAATCAGCAGCATTGTTCCAAAAAATAACTTGATTACAGAGCAATTTCTTAGTATATGGGAAAAAGACCACCCCCGTTCCTGCATTGGTTGTTCAATGTTCTCCTGTGACAAATGAGTAGTGGTCCTGGAGAATTTACTAAGTACTGAGTGCCACGATATCTTCTGCTCCTCAAATGTTGGTTGAAACAGATTTGTTGAGTAAGCCATAATGGCTTGATGGTATTTGTGTGAGGTTAATCTTTGATTGGTGAGTTGCTCCAGGAATAATGTAGCTGGCCAGTTAGATCTTATAAACAGGAATATTGGGTTGATCCAGCTTGGTTGTAGCTACAGAAATACAACATAGTATACCCCAATATATATGCAACATGTATGTATATGTGTGTGTAGTATAAATATACACACATACACCTCTTCCCCACCTATTGCGCTACAAATCCTGATCATGCTGGTTGAGAGGATAGACACTGTAATTCAAATATTTGGCCTTTTGTGCTATAACTCTGAATGGTCAATTTGACCCTGTACTCTCCACCCTATGCCTTTCCCCCCCATTTTAAGTTTAAACTTTACTGCATAGTTCATGGTGGATTTCTTTTCTGAAGTCCGCTCCAAGGGATTCAAGGTCTGGGGAGGCTCTTCAGGTGAATTCTCCTCTTTATTGCCCTTAGGATTTCTTTGTTTCGAAGGCTATAAATTATAGGATTGACTAATGGAGTCAGGACAGCATAGATCACAGCAAATGCTCTATCATACTCTAAGGAATAGCTTGTCTTCAGTCTCACATACATGAAAATGATGCTTCCAAAAAAGAGGACGACTATTGTCAGATGTGACGCACAGGTTGAAAAAGCTTTTTCACGGCTCTCAGCGGTCTTGATCTTCAAGACAGTTTGGATGATCTTCACATAGGAGACCATGATGAACAAGAAAGTCACTAGAATGATGGAAGCATTAACTGCAAAGTCAACCAGGACATTGATAGAGGTATCAGTACAGGCCAAGCTGAGCAGTGGTGGGAAGTCACAGAAGATGTGCTTGATCTGGTTTGGGCCACAAAAAGGTAACTTGGAGACCAGGATGACTTCTGTGATGGGGCACATGAAGCCACAGATCCAGCAGCTGGCAGCCATTTGTGTACACATCTTGGTCGTCATTACAGAAGGGTATCTTAGGGGCTTACAAATGGCCAGATACCTGTCATAGGCCATGGCAGTAAGCAAGTAGCATTCAGTGGCTCCCAGAGAATGGAAAAAATAAGTTTGAAGGAGACACCCAGTGAAGGATATGCTCTTTCTTTCACTGAGTAAATTAGACAGCATCTTGGGAATGGTGGTTGCTGTGTACCAGATCTCCAAAAAGGAAAGAATGCTGATGAAAAAGTACATGGGCGTATGGAGCCGACAGTCTGTGTGGATGATGGTGAAGATCAACAGATTGCCGAAGATGGTGAAGAGGTAAACAAGGAGGAGCAAAATGAAAAGGATATTCTGGAACTGCTGAAGATTAGGGAATCCCACAATGATGAATTCAATGACTTTGGTGTGATTGTAGGGTTCCATATTTCCTGTGGCTCACTCTGTGGACAAATAGATCCACAGGATTACAGGGGCAACTAGACCACAAAAGCAGGACTAGATGGGTTATTTTGAGAGTGGCCAAGTGCAGGGGGATCTGCTGGTCTTCCAAACCCAAGTTAGCTAGTTTTAATAATTGGCACAATCATGGAAGAATTTTAGGACTAATATTGAGGGCCTCCAAATTCAGCAATGCTGGCTTATCATTTTTGAAAAATATGAATAATATGCATAAGAGAATAAGATTGTTAAATCCAGTGACCTAAATGACCTCAAAATATCCTACTACACATTTGTACAGCAAGAAGAAAAACCAAGGGATTTTCCTAATATGTTTGGGAGAAAGAACAAGCCCTGGCAATGGAAATATATGAACCACAATGCACTATTATTTCCAAGATGTTTTAAAAATGACAAGTATTCCTGGTATTTATTGGCCTTAAAGCCAAGACAGGCAGAATTTACACTTGTAAAATCTAGTTTTGCTTTGTCTTTTTTTTCCTCTAGAGCTTTGGTTTAAAAGATGCTCACTCAGAATGAAAGCATTCTTTACACAGGAATTCTAAGAAGAGTACTGGATAAGCCCACAATCTTTGCACACCAATATCCACTCTTAATTGAGTTTTTTTCTTCAAGAATATACTTAGAAAGTTGGGGTGTCAGAAACCCTTGCTGATTTGCAGTGAATACCCAGCTCTACTTTCTGTCTCCCCTTGCTCTAAAAGGTTGTGTAAAAGGATGCTAGATGGGTAGAAGAATGTAATCTTTAATTGCAGAATACTCTATCTTCAGCAGCTCAGTCATGTATTTCCATAGAATGGTAGAAGAGGGATGGGAAAAACTTAGATTTTCCAAGCTTTGTAGGACTTCAGCTATCTTATTACTTATCTTGCAATTTCAACTCTGAGAAACTGAAACAGACACATCAGAAACAGAGTTGAAAAGTTGTTCAGGCAGATGAAACCATTTTTGTAATATGTTGTATTGTACCCTTTCCAGCAAATCTGATTCCAGATAAAACTGCAAAAAGAAAGGTAGGAAGTGAAAATAAGTAGTGATGCTTGAAATGATTGGTGTATGGTGTGTTGGTATATGAATTATTCACTGTTAGTCCTTTGTTTAAAAATCTTGAAAGGAAGTTGTTAATTAGAAAAAGGAACAAATGGGCAATCACTTACCGCCACCCAAAATTCATACTTCTCTTCTTTAAGGGGATGAAGGGTTCTGAGAAAGGTTTGCTTTTCTATGTTTTTTCTGAACAGAGAAACATTTTTTTCATTCCTGTTCAGACATCTTCTCTCTTAAGCACTGGGACAATGAGGACATTTGAAGGCTGTATTTCTATCTTCTCTTACAGTAGATTTAGTCTGGAAATTATCCTGAGTTCTCCATAGCTGGTGTTCTGCAGATGGAACTTCATGACACTGTCGATGCTCTGTAGATGAAGCTTCCAAGTGTGCACACCCAAAGCCGTTTCTCAAGTTCCTTCTTCTGTAACAAGAGATGCTACAGGCTTCTGTTAATACAGAAGCCACTTATGTCTCCAGAGAGAGAAGGGGGCTTCAGAATTTTTTTTCCTGACTTGGTCCTTTGGGGTTCCACAAGAAAACAGTTTCTCCCCCAGCACAATACCAAGTAGGGCCCTCAGTGGTTCTTCCACTCAGCTTGAAGAAATCAACAAGTAATAGACATAGCTATAGATCCTGGTCTTAATTTGGTTTAATTGCTATGTATATATGTCATATGCTACACTTACTGTATATGTCTACACTTGTACATAAGAAGCTAAAGTTAAAAGTGCCCAACTGCATCAAAATTGTCTAGCTGTCATTGTTATATGACCATACCAAAGTTGAAGTTTCTGTATCTCTCTGGAACACTACTACATTGAAGTTTGTTCCAACTTTTGTAATGCACCTTGCAAGCTGTTGCTTTCC